AATTTATCCTCTCAGGCCAGAGTTGTCCCCATCACAATGGGACAAAGACGAACGTCCATACCGGCTGTTCCGGTCTGCTCAACCTTCAGCATCGGTGCCCATAGCAACGCAAGTCGTCATAGCAACGCTAGTCGCCATAGCAACGGCGTGCGTCATAGCAGCGCTAGCCATCACAGCAGTGGCGTTCGTCAAAGCAGCATTGGCAATCAAGAGCAGATAAATGCTTACTGTTTAGAGGAAGAAGAGGAGGAGAGTCCGGAGTACAAGGGGATCTACTCTTGTGTTGATGATTTGTTGGAGGAAGGTGAGGAGCCTAAGGAGGGCGAGTACAGCCATAGTTTTCACGTCGACCCTTCATCCTTGACCCGGCCGACAAGTGCAGCAAGCAAGTAAGTTAATTTTGGCTGACCTATTTTTAACAATAATTTATCACCCCCACCCCCAGCCATTTTCTTTTCTTCCAGCACTGGCGGTGATTTGAAAGCGTAGCTTTCTGGTTGTTGTTTGCAACTGACAGGGTTGGAAAATTGACCAATCTGAGTACTCTCCATACCCTATTTTACATTATTGAAGACCGCTATCCTCCTTCTTAAGTTTTTCATATCTCTCTATTCACCCATCCTCAATTTTCCCTCGAAACATAGCACTTGAATGTTTTGTCATAATTTTTGAATTATCGAAAACCCCTACCCTCATTAAGATATTTTCATAATCTCACTATTCACCCTCTCTCCCTATTCCTTGCACTTTCCTATTTTTCTTTATCGAAGATCACTTTCCTCATTTCCTCATTCAGAATATTTCTTTTTCTCGCTATTAAACACCCCACCCCCTACCCCTTAACTCCATAATTTGCACTTTCCTATTTTTCATTATGAAAGACCCCTTTCCTCATATTATCCCCTTTCAGAATGTTTCTTTATCTAACTATTCAACAACGCCCGTCCCCAAATCCACCTCCCCCTCAACCCCAGCACTCGTCACAGTAACGTCAGCACTGGGGTCGGCGTGCCGCCCAGCTCGGTGGTGCTTCGGCCACAAGATTGCTTTGACATGTACGAGGTTCCAGTCATCCCGCGGTCAGTCAGTGCTCCACACAAGGTCAAAAGACCCAGGTCAGTAGACGCCCTTCCAGCACATGCCTGATATTTTCTTTCTATTTTTGGTTTCATTAGCTATTACAAATTCTTATTTTCTGAGTTTACAAATTTGTGATTTTCTCGCCGAAGAAATTAGACAACTCTCCTCCTCGCCTCCTCTCCTGCTGTTTATCCGTTTATACACACACACCTCCTTGGTGTGATTGTGAATACACGAATATCCTTTAAAAATAATGGACAGAATATGAGATAACAATCCGTGAATAATGTATACATAATTCATTGCTCTATAGCACAGCCCCCCCCCACCCCCAAAGAAAAAAATAACAACCTCACACAAACAAACAAAAAAGTTTCCACTGAAGTAACTGATCTAGAGAAACACATGAATTAGGAGTGGATCCGAGTTTTCAATATGTCCCGTTTTTTTTGTAAATCCATTGACTGTAAGGTATTCAAGCCCCCCCCCCCCCTCTCACTACGCACTTCCCGATCTCAAGACAGCCTCATGATGGTCTCGAGATGGTTTTGAGACGATCTCAAGATGGTCTCAAGATGGTCTCAAGATGGTCTCAGGATCGGATCCGCGAGCAATCTCATTTGTGCCCAACACATTATCAAAATGGCTCCCACCCAAAGTGAAGTTGGTGCAGCCTGTATAGTTTTGAATATTTCTCTAAAGAAAAGAAAAAGCAAAAAAAAAAAAAAAAAAAAATCATTATGGCGCAAACAATGGCATCTTCGGCTGTTGAAATTCCCTCACACGCACCTTTTAAAGGAACTGACATTGTACTTGGCGGACTATAACGTATGGACGAGGACATAATTATCCTGGTCTTTGAGGAACAAAAGCTCTTCATAATACCGTAGTCTTGGTGTCTAAATGTCTTGAATTCCAGCACCAGAAACTTTTCCACGTTCAACTTTATTAAACACCTTTTTGAACTCGCATCTTAAGTTATTATTATTTTTTATTATTATGTTATCGTGACAAACATTTTGTCAAAACTTTGCACATGTTCAATTAAATTGTTGTATGCTCGGTGTCTTAGAATTCGATTGTTATAGTGTTTAGATTTTATTTTCCACAAACACTCATCGTATGTTTGTGTCTCTGTATGAATTCATCGGTTTGGTCTCTTGTCCACGACGCCAAAAGACATGCTACCCGCCATTTCCAGCTTTTCCATAAATAGATATTATGCAAAAATAATCTCTCGGGATCTTGTCTAGATCTCTCTAGCTAGCTGGCTCATGCAACGTGCAAAGACTAATTTATCAACTTTACTTCATCAAACGTTTGATAGCAGTGTTGCGCATCAAATCCCACTAGAATTTGACGCTGATGAAGATTCTGAATTCAGATTTGCAAAATTTTGACTTCGGCACCCATTTCTTTTTAGCGTCGAGTACCCCAATCTGTGATCCGACAGATAATTTTCAGAATCGTTCCCAATTCAAGCGATCTCACGGTTTATTGAGAGTTTTAACTGAGCAGTCCAGACTTAGGTCTCGTGTGATGTCAAAGATCATCTTGAGATCACGTTCAGATGGTCTTAAGACCGTCTCAAGACGGGCGCACCCTTTTAACTGCGTAGTGAGTGGAGCAAATCAGATACCTTTAGAAAAAATAATAGGCCTGAGTGAGTTGATTCTTCAAAATTGAGAATACAGATTTTGTACCGCATTGGTTGAGATAATTCAAGTGATGTAATATTATTATCACTGGTCATGCATACATTATCTTCGTATTCATAATTTTGTTTTCAGTGCGAAACCGCCACCTATTCCCGTGCGGTCCGTCACTGTCAGAGCAGCCAATGTGAGAACATCTGATTGGTCAAATAGCACCACGTGGGATGACGAAGACCGGAAGTGTGACATCGCAGAAATGGAGCACGAGTATATGGAAATCAGGCCAGAGCCGGTTGAGAACGAGATCCTCGCAGCCAGAGCTAAGCTGAAACATGTTTCTTTCTCAGGGTGAATTTTCCAACTTTGAATTCGTTTTCGATATGATGAAATTAGATAAAACACAACTGAATACAGAGCTGTTCATATGCGAACATTTAGAAGAAAAATACAACACAAAACCGAAGGGCTTCCAAACTTTTTTGGGGGGTTCTCTTTAGAATGATTCCATTGATCTTACTGAATATTCGAAAGTATGTGTATAATTTGTCATGTCAACATAAAAAGGGTCTTTTGTTGTTTGTGGTGTTATGGCAAGGCTCTTTGCCATTGCACTCACGAGTTGTGAGTCGACTGCCGAGAGGGGAAGTCTGTTTTATCAATTAACTTCATCTTTCAGAAAGAAAATTGTATCCCACTCATCTCGGATTGAGCCTGACAGATTGGGTCGAAGTAGCCTGCCTCTTATTTAAATTGAATAGTGCTAATGGGCTGATATGTACGATCGAAATATTGTAGAGAATAATTATGTGCACTATGTTTGAAGAGACTATGTGCCCATATTGAGTGTGGAGGCTATGTGCATTTTATTTGTAGAGACCGTGGAGTGTATATTCTGTGGGCACTGCATGCACCGTTATAAATTCTACCTTGTGAACTGTATCTTTATGATATAAGAGTGCGTTGAGGAAAAACATGTAGCTGCTTTACTTTAAATTCATAACTATAATCTTTGCGACGTTATTATGCAAACCAAACTCCTGTTTACAACGTGAACTCAAGGCAAGTAACCCTTTCGAAAGGAAAGTGAAGTGTTTTAAGCAATCCTTTTCATTTGTAATTCCTCACAAAATATCAGTTTTAACAGCTTCATGTAAGTTATGAATGAAACAGAACTTTCAAACGAGAGCCACTAGGTGGGGTAGGTACAGCGTTAAAAAAAGAAAATAAAGGAAGTGAAAGGAAAGGGCAACTGTAGACTTGCTGTGTTCCATAAAATGGTTCATGAGTGATTATGTACGTCTTTTATCCAGAGATGAGTTATTCACCTTTATAGAGCTGTAGGGAGGGAAACTCAAACAAATCATCATGCAACGCAATACAATTTTTTAAAAGACAGTTTTTCTTTTCTGTAAACTAAAGTTTCGTCGACGTGTGTTACACCATGAGTCTACTTTCCAGTTAGAAATTTGTGTCTGATGTACATATACGTGTATATGCATTATTGAAAACACTGTTTGTATAGATCTCTCTCTTTATCTTTGTCCCCTACCCCAATAAAAAAAGGAAGAAAAAAAGAGAAAAAAAAAATCAATAATTAACAAACCACATACCAGATACCAACACATCCTTTTGTACATAATTATATGTCCATATTTTAAAAACAAAATTGAACACTTAATAACCCTCACCTATTCCTACTTGTTATATGATGGGCTAGTTGTGTGATAAAAGTGATTCATGGAAACTGCCAGTTTCAATCGGACGATGGGTTGTTAGAGGGTGCCACAGGTAAAACCTTCTTCACTACCCTCTGTTTGTTGTTTTGTCTATATTATGACTCTTGTTGGTTTTTTAAACACTCAATAAACATTCTATTATGACGATGTGTTCTCCTTTTCGCCAACATTACTTAAACATTACTCGAACAATACTCAAATTCAGTCGGACCATCATTAGCACCCTTGTTTAATGGCTTCCTTTATTTTCATGAGGTCAGTTTCTTCAATGAATATAATAAATTTTTAAAATGTTTTAGACGCATATCTATGGGACCGTGTCACATCTTTTTGTTGTTGTCTTTTACAGATAAGCAACTTGAACCACAAGCTGTCTAGATATTGGGGTTATTTATGAAATAATGATTCTGCTGTGTCTCTCTCTATCTATCTGTCTCCCAAACCCTTTTTCCTCGCATTTGAAAAATCCGTAGATCATCCGTAGCTTCAGTTAAACTCTAAAAAACAAGAAGAGACCCAAAGACGAAGATGAAAGATGCATAAAGTTTAATATTTTTCATACATTAAAAAATCATTGTGACATAAACCTATTTTTTCGTTCAAAGAATGTGCATTTTGATAATGATGAAAACTGGTTGTCGCTTATTCTCTAAAACAGACACGCCAAAGAAGAAAATCCGTTGACATATTTAACAAAATGAAAATGAAAGTAGTCAGACAAAATACAGAACGAAACAAGTAATTACTGTTACAAAAGAACAACAATAGTGAAAAGAAACGAACAGCCCAAGCTCGAGCTCCTCAGGCTTAACACTTGAAGTTCGTCTCCACGGGCTGTTGATTATTCTGAAGGTCACGGGCGTTGGAAAAGTGTGCAATGAGGCCGTGTCCATGTCCGCCGGCAGGCAGAGCCCGTAGAGCTTCCAGCTGTAAAGGATAAATAGATGTAGGACAGAAATTGACTTTACTACTGCAACAAATACGACCAGTATAATTTGACCTTATATATAATTACATTATACTTATACACAAAGCTTATTACATGCAATTTGCAAATAAAATGATATTATTTTACAATAGTAAAAAATGTGCACTATAAATTTGAAGAGACTATGTGCATTATGATGTGTGTAGAGGCTATATTATGCATTGTATTTTTAGAAACCAAGGAGTGTACATTTTGTGCACGGTCATAAAGACTAAAAATGAACTATATCTATTGAGAATAATAATAATATGTGCATTGTACGTATACAAATTATTTGTACTGTATAAAATCGACTATTTACCTGGCTTCTCCTCGCCATCTTCTTCCTTCTCCTCCTTCCTTCCTCCTCTATCAACAATGCATGCAAAGAGACTGTACACTGTATGCATAGACTATTTCTCATCCTCCTCTTTCACCTCCTCCTCACCATCATCCTTCTCCTACTCCTCTTTCTCTTGTATGTATGTATGCATGCATGCATGCACCGCATGCATATTATACTATTTCTCTTTCTCCTCCCCGTCTTCCTCGTACTCCTCTTCATCCTCCTCCTTCTCCCGTCCTCCTTCTCTTCATCCTCCACCTCCTCGCCGGCATGCAAGAGACACATACCGCGTCCTGGGTGACAGGCACAGGATCAGCCATGACGATCCACCTGACAGACTCGGAGCAGGGCGGGGTGGTCAGCGAGCCGGCGTAGGTGAGGAAGTCACTGCTCTTGGGGAGGAGGGATTCTACGTCCACTTGGACGTCCACACCGAATTCTGAGGGAAAGGGAGGGGTGTGTGGAGGGGGGGGGGTAAGGTTGAGGGTTGATGGAAGTGGGGGGAGGGGGGTGGCAGGAGGGTGGGGGAAAAAAGGGGGGGGGGGGGGGGGGGGGGGTAAGATGAAGGTGAGGGAGAGAAGGGGTGAGGGTTAAGGTGGTCGAGAAAAGTAGGGAAGGGGCGAGGGTGAAGGGTGGGGGTAGGGAAGAGGGGACGTTGTGAGGATGAGAGTGAGGGTGGGGAGGGGGGGGGGGGGTTAAGAATTTGAAGAACACAACAGTAAAGCGTAGTGCCTTATTTCCACGAGTAAAGAAAATCGAATTTTAAGTTCGAAACACTCAGCACTTTAGTTGTTAT